AAAGACAAAGGGGTCAAGCTTCCTCAAGAAGCTAGAACAAAGGTTCAAGCTTCTTGGGGAAGCTAAGAAAAAGGTCCGAGCTTCTTGAGGAAGCTAGAGCAAAGGGTTCAAGCTTCCTCAAGAAGCTAGAGCAAAAGGGTGCGCACAGAGCAAATCCTCCATACACGTGTATGGAGGATACAGTCTGTGCCTTCCAGCTGGCACAACTGGCATCCACACAATCTGACAAAACAGGAGGAAACCAGCCGACCAGAAAAGGTGGTCGGTCGACCACTTTCCCTGGTCGGCCGACCAGGACAAGTGGTCTCCCAGATAAAAAGTGGTCAGCCAAGGGTATTGGTGGTCTCCACTGTAATAACCCAACCCTCGTATGTGTTCCCGATATATTTTCAGTCCTTCATTATGCGTATTTATATGCTTATTATGAAATGTCACGTGGAATTAAGTTTAAGTAAGTGAACCTTATGACTATGGATTCATATTTGTTGAATAAGGAGACACGTGGGTTCATTTTTGACATTTTTATTGGTATGTTTGGAACCTCCTCATTTTATTTTGGGGTGTTGCTTGAGGTGGTAATATGATGGTAAAGTAAGATTGGACCGAAAACTTTAATTCGAATAATTCGTCTACGATCAGCTAGTGCTCTTTTGCCTTTTTCTTTTTCTACACTTTGAATTTGGATGTGAGGTTAGAACCATTGGAAAGCTTATCTCTGGGGCTTCAATTTGACCACAAGAATGACCTAAAACGGAGTCGGGATGGGAGAGTTATGCCTGTTTGAAGTTTTGGAATCTGTGCTGAGAGCAGGTACGCTCGAGCGGTTTGGACCATTTCTTACATTTTCTTTTTCTCTCTTCTTCTCCCTCCTCCATGTCCGAAACCCTAGCCGCCAAAACCTTGATTTCCTCCACTTTTATCAACAAATCCTCCATGGATCTTGTATCAAGGATGGACAACAAGAAATGGTCAACATTTCCAACCGATTGAATTTCTAAATTGAGGTGGAATCTCATCCAAGCTCGCTCCTTTGTTTGTTCTTCGAGGTAGGGGTTCTAGATCTCCTCAATACTTACATCTATGGATAGATTTATGGTAACTTCATTATATTAATGCAAAAATCTTCATTTTTATCATCTAGGGCATATTATGAGATTTGGGGATTTAGAGTTTGAGATGTTGGAAGTTAAATTGGTGGGTTAAAATGATGAATTGTGAATCCTAGATGTAGAATCATTGGGAAAATTGGAATTAAAAGTGGTGATTTAAGAAGTGTGAATTTTTGTTGAAATTTCAATATTTTCTTGAAACCCTAGGTTGATTAATGATGATAACCAATGATTTGGCCCAAATTGAGAGTAGAATAATGAAATTGAGTTATTGAATTATATATGTACAAGTTTAATTGGAATTTGAAAATATTTGAAAATTATGTTTAAAATTTGCGAATGAACTTTGTTATGAATGTTGTAATTCATGCTTTAATGTAAAGGAAAAATTGGGGAAATAATTTATTAAGGATAGGGATGACATGAACTTGGTTGTGGAATGTTGAAATGGGATTCAAGGATTTAGTTTGAATTATGTTGAATTATATTTAATGATGTTGAGTTGAATCATGTTGTTTATGTTGAATTGTGGTGATTATGTGAGATGGTATTGACTATGTTGATTTTAATTTTTGTGACCTAAAATGTGGAGTTTTCCGAAATGGGTTTCATCCCAAATTATTTTGCTAAATACTTGTGGGCTTGCTTAGTTATTAAAATCAAGAGAATGATTTAATGGAGTTTCTTTATGTAGATAGGAAATGTTTGGTTTTTGGTGAAAACCCTAGACATTCAGGGATTTTTGGAAAAATGTGGGGGATGTCCATACAATTCTTTTCTATCTTGAAATCAAAGTGATTGATTATAAATTCCATACTGTGTTTGCAAGAATGGTAATCTTCTGTTTATAGATATATATTGAGATGGAGGAAATTGTGGTATAAATGGATGCTTAATGGTGGGCTTGTGAAGAATAATGAAGGAAAGAAAAAAGAACTAATGACTAAGTTATATATGTGTACAGGGCACACTTCAGGAGGGACAAGCACTCCGTTGTAGCACTGTGAGTAGTAGTGCGGTAGTCGTACATTCAATGATCGTTAATGATTCTTACTGTTAACCTTCTATTTCTTGCAAGTATGTTGATTAGAAAATCTAAAGGCATTATTGCGCAATACATTTTATTAGTGTTGACAAAGAATACTAACATTATGTGCAAGATATCTATAGTGATTCATGACGAACCAAGGGAACGTATAAGCACTATGGAATCATGGTATTCACGTATCTCTGAAATCATTCAATTTGTAAATGTGCTTATCTCTCATTGGTAATTATCAGGAACGTCCTGTTAAACTTAAGTTAACTCATGTGAATGATGTAACGACTACCAGTAGTACTCTGCTAGGTACAAGTCAAATATGGTAACACATATGAACGAGCAAACAAAGGTGTATGCTTCTATATACTATTAATAGATCAAGTGAACTACGTTATTTCTTAACGAATAATTAGCTAAGACCACGGATTGTTTTATATGTTAATACCTGCTAAGTATTATGATAAACAACGGATTGACTTACGAATGGCTCAACCCGAAGACAGAATTAAATGTCGATGACCTTGTCATGTAACCCACATTATAATGTAACATGTTCTGTCTTTGCTAAGTGTACTGTAATGACATGATATAACAAGAAATGTTCGATGTTCTAATATGTTACGTGTTGAAGTAATGAACAGTTGGCCATATATGTAAGGTATTCATGACATCCGTAGCACACGACCCTTACCTGGGGGTAATAATACCGTGTTTTCAAGTATGTTACAAGTTCAAGTATGTTACAAGTATATGCAGTTACAAGTTTACAAGTTTACGTATGTTATAAGTTTAAGTCTGTTACAAGTTTAAGCTTAAGTATGTTACAAGCTACGTTACAAGCTTACATATGTACAAGTTCAAGTGTACTATAAGTTCACAATGTTGAGGAATTTCTTTATGGAACTAACAAGAATGCTTTTTATTGATTTGCCAGCGCTATTAAAAGGCTAAGTATAAGTAAGTATGAATTCTGATTTCTGTTAATGATTCAAGTATAATGCATATGTATGAATTTGTTTTCGTTTATGATATGACATGATATGTATGGTTGGTTTGTAAAACCTGTTAATTACTGGTATGGAACTAAGTGCTACATTGTGAGCCACCTCTAGAGTCCATGTGAGCTACCTCTTGAGTCCATACATATATGAATGAGGCTTATAGCCAATCTGGGCCTATGGCCATTCTATATGATCTATGAGGCCAGAGGCCATTATGTATTTTCGGTATGGAGCAAAGTGCTGTACGGAACTAAGTGATGCAATGTGAGTCACCTCTAGAATCCGTACGAGCCACCTCTTGAGTTCATACATATGTGCAAGTTATGAGGCCTATGGCCATTCCGGATAAGTTATTATAATATGAAACAAAGTGCTGCACGGAACTAAGTGCTACGATGTGAGTCACCTCTAGAGTCCGTGTGAGACACCTCTTGAATTCATACACATATGTTCAAGGGCTTCATGCTATATGTTCAAGGGCTTCACGCCATATGTACAAGGGTTATATGCCAACATATTTAAAAGTTTAATGATAATATGTTCAAGGGCTATCGCCACTTTGTTCAAGGGCTTAAAGCCATTATGTTCCAAGATATTATGTTTCAAGTCAATATGTTTCAAGACTGGGCCTTAGGCCGTTCAAGAATTAATACAGAATCCATTAACCTTATGCCTCATTATTTATGTATGCATTGATATGTATTATAATTCAAGTTGAGCATTGAATCGTTTATGTACTATTATTCACTGAGCTTCGCTCACTTTATATTATGTATGTTCTGTAGGTAATCACTTAGGGAGTTCGTCTTAACCCTTGAAGCTCACCCTTCAGTTGTCAACCTCAGTATGCCCAGGCTCCCAGACCAAGTCTATGCATTTATGTCAAGTTTTGTTAAGATTTTGGCTTGCACTTGAATTATTTACCTAAGGTTAAAATGTATGTATATGATCCCTTTCTATACCAATGTTTGTTTATGCGGTCATGTATGTGTATGGGTATGTCTAAAATTAAATGACTCTCATGAATGTGATCCTGGCATGTTAGGTTTAGCTCAATGGATGCTTTTCTGTGTTATTTTATTATATTAAATGCTTCCGTTCAGGCCCCATATGATATGTATATCAGGTTAAGTGTCCGTTTCTGTATGGGTCATGCCCGAACTTTTAGGGACGAGTTTGAGGTGTGACATCCACACTGAAAGAAAGCCAATGGTGGGGTGGGAAACCATAAAATGTGGCCCAAAGACCAAGAAAACCAGTTTCCCGAGAAGAAAACCAGCTGGCGGGGAAAAGTGGTCTCCAAGGAGAAAAGGTGGTCTCCCACCCTTGTACCACCTCCCAAACAAGGAAAACAAGGTTCATGCCAAAAATGAACCAACACGGATGCAAAACGAGAGTTCAGGAGGCAAAGCGCGCGGTTGGGGGCCTAAAAAACTGGCTGTTAAGCACAAAAAGTGGCGCTGGCGGGGAAAAGTGGTCTCCAAGGAGAAAAGGTGGTCTCCCACCCTTGTACCACCTCCCAAACAAGGAAAACAAGGTTCATGCCAAAAATGAACCAACACGGATGCAAAACGAGAGTTCAGGAGGCAAAGCGCGCGGTCGGGGGCCTAAAAAACTGACTGTTAAGCACAAAAAGTGGCGTACGACCACAAAAGTGGTCTCCTGGACCACAGTGTCCCTCTAGACAGAGGAAACAAGGTGTGTTCCAAAGAACGTGCCAAACGGAGAATGTTAAGCGGTCCCGAACCGAGGCGCACGGCCGACGGCTTCGAAAATCGGAAACTAGTCTCCAAATGGGAACAGTGTCCTACGACCACGAAAAGTAGTCTACGACCAATGAGAGATGGTCTACAAGACCTCTCCCTCCTTCCGGGAAGAGAAAACAAAACTCGGTCCGCGGATTGAGTTAAAGTAGAAAGGGTCCTGAGGTCCAGAGGTGAGGCTCTCGGCCAAGAACTCCAAAACCTCGAAACGAGCACAACATGCGCGATCACCGAGCGGTCAATCGATGACGTCTGAGTCTTAAGGTTGGTGAAAAATGGGGTGTCTACAGGAGTTCTTCATCTTTCTGACAGACTATCTCTTCCAATGTAGCTTGTGACAGCTCTAGGCTTGCTTTTCTTCATATGTGGAATACACTTTTAGAAGTTCATTCCTTTCAGTTTCACAGGATGAAAGTTTTCCACATAAGTCTTGCCTATCACTTAAGATCTTGATGACGTTTTGTTTTTTTGCTACAAGTTCTCCTTTTAGCTTGACATTCTCACTTTCACATGCTTTGAGCTTGAGAGAGAGTTTGTTGTTGATTTTGGACAAATTCAGAGATTCCTCGTAAAGCTTTTCGTAAGCTTGTTGTAGTTCATCACTATTAATCTCTTCATTGTCTTCTGATGTTGATGTTTCATCATCATCTTTTTGCTCCGCATTCTTCTTGACCTCATCCAGTCGGGCAACTAAGGCAGAAAAGTTGCTGGATGGTGGTGAAGATGAATCTCCTTTTTCATGAAATTGGCTCAGAATTTCCCATGCATTTTTAGCCTTTATGCAGTGAGCAACCCGTTGCTGTTCTTCATAAAAAATTGCTCCACGAATAGTAATCAGGGCTCTCTGATTACTCGGATTGTCAACACTTTCTGTATCTTCTTCAATGGCCTGCCAGCCTTCTGGGTCAAAAGCTCTCAGAAAAGCCCTCATTTTGATCTTCCAATACAGGTAGTTACTCCCATCAAAGGTGGGAGCATGATGCAGGTTCTAACCACGAGCTAATTCCTCTGGCTTTGGAAGAGGTTGAGTGAAAGTGGACCAAAATGCCATGAAAGCACTATCCCTGTCTTCTCCAGATTCAGGTTCTTCGGGTTCTTGCTCTGACCCGCTTTCATCATCCCAAGTCACAGTGTAGACTTTCTTTTGATTCTTTGTCGAAGGGCATTCAAGGGCAATATGACCAAACCCTTGACGTTCATAGCACTTGACCCCTTGCCCCTTTACAATTTTCTTTTCAGTTTTTGGAGCAAGTTTTGGTGGAAAAGTTTTGGGTTTTTCATTACTCTTGTCTTTTGAAATAGGGTCTCTGAAATTAGGCTTCTTTTTCTTCAATTGTTTTTTAAACTGTTTAGTAAACATAGCCGTCATCTCAAACTCTAAATCAAATTCAGTCTCAGGAGTTTTTGCAGTCTCAGGAGCACTAGTGAAAGCCACACTTTCTTTTTGTTTTTTCTTTGAAATCTGGTGGGCTTCATAAGTCTGCAAGTTTCCAACCAACTGATCAAGCTTGAGGGTATCAACATTCTGAGCCTCCTCAATGGTAGTCACGTTTGATTGGAACCTCTCGGGTAATGACCTCAAAATTTGTCTAACAACTTTAGCTTTTGGGATTTTTTCACCGAGTGTGAAACAGGAATTCACGATATCACTGAGTTTTGCATAGAAATCATCAAACGTCTCATCATCGCGCATAAAAAGGGTTTCAAATGCGGAGGTGAGACGTTGAAGTTCTACCTTTTGACAGAGGTAGTACCTTTGTGAATCGTTTCAAGAATGTCCCAAGCCTCTTTTGCTACCTCATACGTGCAAATACGACGAAATTCTTCAGGTGTGACGGAGCAAAAGAGAGAGTTGAGAGCCTTACTGTTCCAACTCGAGTTTTGGTAATCGGTTATATCCCATTTATCAAGGGGTTTAGGAATATCAATACCATCAATGGTGACAATAGGTTCACTCCACCCATAGATCACGGAGGGCCAAACTTTTTCATCGATGGATTTTAAAAACGCTCTCATACGAGCTTTCCAATAAGAATAGTTTGTACCATCAAGTAAAGGAGGTCTATGGGTCGAGTTACCTTCACGAATAGAATCCATGACACTAGTCACACAAAATCACACTCCTATAGTTTTGATAAAAACAAAGAGTGACCCGCTTTGATACCAATTGAAAATCCTAAGTGATTCGTGATTCGATCAAGATTAAAATATTTCAAATCTCAATTATTCAAAACACGCAATCTAAATCATCAAGCACTTACGAAAGTGATTTAGATTGTTGTTTTTCGGAATAAACAATAAATCGACACAAATGATTTTTACGTGGAAAAACCACAATTGAAGAACCTTCAATTGTAATAAAAAATCACGGGCGAAACACCACTAATCAATCCACTACTGAAGAAAGAAAGATTACAAAGATAATACACAAATTACCCAACTCAGTCAATTTGTCTTCACACTTTCAGTAACTCTTTCACCAAGCCTTCATCTGGGAACTAATCAACCGGAAGTTGAATCCATAACTTCACTTGTCGAATTAACGACTACGTACAGAATCAAACGCCTTTTGAAACTCTACGTTTGAATCTTCAGAATCCACCGAAGAATAACTCTCTTGATTATGAAGAACCAAACACCTTGATATTTGTATCTTAGATCATAGGTTACAAATCTTCTCAAAAAATCAAGGAAAAACTCACCACAATCTTCAGAAGAAAACTTCAAACAAAACCCTAAAAAACCTTAAACAAGATCTAGGAGAAGTAATCCTAAAGTTGTCCCAACATGCGAATATATAGAATCTGAGATCGCATGGTCCGCTCGAGCGTGGGATTTCCCGCTCGAGCGGAGATTGCCTATTCCGTAATTCATATAAGGTCCATGCTCGAGTGGAAGTTTCCACGCTCGAGCGTCGAATCACACCATCCAGTATATTTGCAGGCTTGATAGAGATGCTGTGAATGAGCAAACCCCGCTCGAGCGTCACTTTCCCCGCTCGAGCAGGAAGACCAAAACTAGAAAAAAAATGAAAAATTAAAGCATGTTACAACCTTGGTTTTAATCCATGGAATTTGACAACAAAGGGTCCTAATAGAGAGGAAATATTTTTAGAGAAAAAGAGAGATATACAAAAGTGATCTGAAATATCAGATTCACGAACTAATATAACATGGTACACTCGAGCGTCGAATACACCTTCCCAGTACTTTTGCAGATAGGTCAAACTTCTGCAACCAAACATTCTCCGCTCAAGCGCATAAACGGTTGCTCGAGTGGACAAGCAAATTCTAATGCATTTTGCATTTTTGCTTCGGGGCCGCTGCCCCTTGACCCCGTCAGGGCGCTGCCCTCGGACCCGCCAAGGGGCGCTGCCCCCTGGACCCTCGCGAGTTGATCGAGCAGCTCGATCCCCAACCTAGTGAGTGAAATGGCAAAACATGAAGGATACGCTACAACCCGATAACCAAAATAAGGGGAATACAGGGTACTAAGATACGTAACACCGTTCAAAACCATACCAACCCGAGCCCGGAACACCACAAAGAGACAGGTCAAAACCGGGATCGCTACACTAACTTTCAGTCTTGCTTGGAAGTGCTGGTTTTATTTCAGCCATTTTGTGTAACTCCTTTTCTAGTTCAGCTAAGAGGTCGTGCTCTAATTTTGTTCAAACTAGAAAAATCTATAGTGTAAATTCTACTGAGATTTTACTTCATGCACCAAACTTAATCCGATTTAAACAATAAATCGACACAAATGATTTTTACGTGGAAAAACCACAATTGAAGAACCTTCAATTGTAATAAAAAATCACGGGCGAAACACCACTAATCAATCCACTACTGAAGAAAGAAAGATTACAAAGATAATACACAAATTACCCAACTCAGTCAATTTGTCTTCACACTTTCAGTAACTCTTTCACCAAGCCTTCATCTGGGAACTAATCAACCGGAAGTTGAATCCATAACTTCACTTGTCGAATTAACGACTACGTACAGAATCAAACGCCTTTTGAAACTCTACGTTTGAATCTTCAGAATCCACCGAAGAATAACTCTCTTGATTATGAAGAACCAAACACCTTGATATTTGTATCTTAGATCATAGGTTACAAATCTTCTCAAAAAATCAAGGAAAAAATCACCATAATCTCCAGAAGAAAACTTCAAACAAAACCCTAAAAAACCTTAAACAAGATCTAGGAGAAGTAATCCTAAAGTAGTCCCAACATGCGAATATATAGAATCTGAGATCGCATGGTCCGCTCGAGCGTGGGATTTCCCGCTCGAGCGGAGACTGCATATTCCGTGATTCATATAAG